GAGAATACGCTGATCTACAAACGGAAGCAAATGTTCATGCAATGTTCACGTATTCCAAATTCAAATAATACGATATGTCATCCTGTTTGGAAACTGACATGGATTCTATTGAGACATCGTTCTTTTTGCAATTACCTTGTAGGCAATGGTGTGTTGCTAACAACCGAACATGGTTGTTGCAAAATTATATTGGCTGCATATGCTGTCTGAAGCGGCTTTCTATAGTGAGCAGTAGAATTGAGCACACATGCCGATAATGTGACCTTTCAATTGAGTAGTAGCATCTATCACCGCCACTCCTCGAAATGGTTGACCGACTTAATGGTCCACCTTTTTACCTCTCACAGACATTTTATTTCATTAACCGTCAAAGTTTATTAACTGCGACAACCGCCCACATTTTCGAATATGCGGTAAATGTTTCGTTCTCGCTTGGGGTTTTCGTAATAGTGATAAGTTTGGTCGCTCGCTTCCTCGACGACAATTTCAATAACAGTAGCAAAATTAGCGGCGATATCAACGTGTAATATGGTATAATCTAAATATCAAATGCTTCACATTTTTCGAGCTACTTCTACTTACATAGGTAGCTGTCAATATTATCCAAAAAGTGACTGTTGAAATGAACTGTTGGTACGCAAATAGGAGAACACCGCCGATAGAAAGTAAAAGATGGCAGATTGATTGAAATACTGATAGCGGTATGATTACGGTAATCACATTGATGTTCTCCTGAAGTTGGTAAGACGACCGCAAATTGACATATCTCCTTAAATAGGGAATATGAGGGCGTTTTAATCGCAAAGTGAATTACCTTTTTATAGCTGCTGCATTGAAGAAAAACACTAGTCCTGAGAAAAACAAGGCAACAAGATTAATTCCACACAGGACATAAGATCGGATCTGCAGCCTGTATGCAGTGGCAGAGTTGGTAGCAGAGCAGTGCACAAGCTCTGTGCTGAGATCCGTCTTAATCAATGACCAAGTAGCTAGTGCAGCACCAGCAGTTATCTATATAGCAAAAAATCAGTGATTTGAACAAGGCTTTCGTGTTCGATTGCGTTGACTTACGCAGCTTCCAGCTATCGCAAATCCCAGAGCGGAACCTAACTCTTCGTATTGATTTCTTTTCCATAGGGCAATAGCGCGTTCCAGTACCATGCCAAGCTAAACGCCAAAGTTACAATTCTATAACTCTACTCTTAAACCACAGAAAGGTTGGAATATTATGTCATATACCCATTAAAAGTCACTGACATGGGGAGGATATGTACTTGGTCGAGGTGCCGTTCCCATATGAAATGTACACTATCTTATAGAGCATAGAAGGCTGATTCCAAATCTGCTTTTGATATCTGCAAAGCACTTTTAGGAGTGGAGTTCCGAGAATTTTTTGAGGTAAAAATTCAGTGATTTGGCTGAGACAAAGTAGGTGCTGATGTCCTCCCGGCACTTGAAAGAAGTAAAGACTGAAAAAGTTTATTAGATTGAAGGTCTCTATTTCATAAAACGCCCTGGTAGTAATTATGGCCCCATTTGTGCTTACGGACTCGGGTTCTGAATGATTTTATCGTAGCGACGCTTTCAAATTTTTGCACCAAAGATTTTCCATAACCTCCCTCCCATAAGCGCTTCGCAGATACCAGAAACAGATTTGAAGTCAGCATTCCATGCTCTGTAAGATAGTTACATCTTGTATGGAAACGTTACTTTGACCGAGTATCCATCCCTCGTGAGAGGGAAGGATACTTGGTTGAAGTAACGTTTATGTAACGTTTTAACGTTCTATTTTAAGTGAAGACAAAGCCATTTATTCATTTATCGCACTCCAGAATCACTTTAGTGCTCACAAAACGACTATTCTATGACTTGCAAAGATACCAGAGCTTAC